TGAGGCACCGCGACCTCTGCCCAGAGCAGGAGAAGGAACAGGGGGGTTTTTAGTCAGTAAGAGTCTGACTCTCCTTCCCGCCCGGCCCTGCGCGGGAGAAGTCATTTGATGATTCTCCCCTCACAAAAAAAGCTTCTTTTAATTTAAAACGTTCAGTTACACAGATATTCTATATTAGTTATAATGAATAAACCAATAACGCGTAGTTAGTATCTGTACATAGGTACTCGAATAAACAAAATGATCGAAAGTTCTCGAATTTTCGATTGAAATATTCCAGTGATTGTTTAATTAATATTAAACTAGAACATAATAAATTGATGCAGCTCACTGGTACCGGTATTTACTGAAAACTTTAATTTTAGTGTAGGTACTGTTATAGCTTATGTATTCCCTATTTCGATTACGTATTGGAAAATACATACCTATTGGAATTTCATCCTGTGATAGTTTCAATATTAACATTTCGGACGAAAGCACTTACCTAATGGACTGCCGTCAATGCTTTAAAACAAAGCTGCGGTGCATACAACGTTACCTTAATGCTTGAATGAGTGCAGTAAATACAGAAAATACCTACGAATACATTCATTCGTACTCCAAGCATTTTCAATCACAGAACATGTTTCATTTTCAGTTTCGTGGAATCACTTGATCAAAGAAAAAAAGACTTATTATCTATAATCTTTAAGTCGATTTTTCAAGCATCGAGATAATCTTCTTACGCTTAGCTCTTAAGGAGGATTTGAAGGTCAAAACCTTAATCTCATCATAATAACGTTTACAATCCGTCATAGGATAGTATCTTTTCGACAAAATAAGGTTTTCTATAATACGGTACGAATGGGCCGGAGTGATACAACAGTCTTACAGACGTAGAACAACACCTATGTTATCCTTTACCGTGTAAGTGAGTTTTTTTTTGTCAGTGAAAAATCATCCCATGACTTCTCCTGCCCAGGGCCAGGAGGGAGTGTCAGACTCTTACTGACTAAACCCCCCCCCCCGTTCCTTCTCCTGCTCTGGGCCGAGGTCGCGGTGACTCATTGCGTGCTTACCCCGCAACCCCGGCTGAAGTGAGGTTACGGGAAGTTTAAGCCTTACCAAACTCCCTTCCTCAAACCCCTTACTCCCAAAAAGCGAGCAACGCAACGCCTCTTTTAAGGTGTAGTGGACAACCTAATAACTCCTCTAGTTTTGTGGGTGTCCATGAGCAGCGCTGTTTGTTTTTCGCCGCCCATGGATACTCGCAATACAAAAGGAGTTACGAGTACGTGGCCGGCCTTTTAAGAATAAGGGTTTCAGATATTTAAGGATTACAAAGTAACCACACTCACAAGGTGAAACACAATAATGAAACACAACTGCTGTTGTTTCACGCTGGTTTTCTGTGAGGCCGTGGTATCACTCCGGTCGAGTCGACCTATTCATGCCAGTCGTTTATTAGGTGACTTCATTAAGTAGCACATCTGTTCGTATGAGTAAATAATGTTAAGATTGTTGACGATAGTTATCCATAGATGCTGATAAAGGTTACGTTTCATTGTATGCTGGTATTCTCAAAGCAGGGCTTCGAGTAGGTGAAGCAACAAAACTGGATCCAATGTCAAAATTAAAATAGGAATGTAAAAAGTTAAACAACAAACGGGAATTAACTTCTATTGTTTTTACAAATATACGCATGCATATTTGAATTATTTGAACTGCATATGTATGTGTTTCTATGAATAATAAATTCAGGTTCCAATTGGATTTTTATTTTGTATTTTACCTTAATTTGTCACACAGATAGAGCCACCATTCAGGTTATAATTGTAGACCGTTATTATATAGTTCGTTATTTTTCAAAGAAGGAACTATAAAGGTTAAGCTCTGGAAAAACTCTACCTATTGAAATATAAGGTACCAAAAAATAAATTAAAAAGTACTAAAGAGAAATGGTCTTGGATGACCAGTATCATACATGTAGGATTTAATTAAAACCAGTTGTATATGAAACAGAAATCTGATATCGAATTCGTGGGACGGAAAATAAACTTCATTCAAAGTAAATATGTAATCAAAATATGCTTCAGTTAATGGTTCGAGTAAATAATTAATATTTGTGAATGCTATATAAATGCAAATTTGTAAAATCTATATAAATAATGATATTGGTAATAGTAAATATTTCAATAGGCGGGAAATTTATCTCTCGAAAAATAATATAGGCATGTGGCCTTGAGTACGAGGTTGCCTTTAAATAATCAACTGCCTGAGGCCTCACGTCCAAAGGTGTTATGTAGAATCTTATGTACTCAATATTTTTGAAGGTTCTCGCTGCACATCATCAGCTTATAAGTGCCCTCTGTTAAACAAAGGTATCTCACATGGAGTAGGTTTGAGTATTAATAAACACGCTTGCTCAATGCAGATTGGCGTTTTCAAATTTATTACAATTAGAAATCGTAAGTCCAGGTTTCCATCACCGTATGTCAGTGGAGTCTTAATATTCATAGAAACTACATATAACTCGGAAAAGGTCGCATTGGTACTTGCCAGGTTTTGACCCGAACCCACATAAATGGGAAGCGGTTAAATTCCGGGTCACCACGACATTCTAAGGAGATTCTTTCTTGTTTCCTTCAAATTTGGATAAAACGGAGAATAAGGCTCCACAAAAAATCCAATATATGTAAGTACACAACTCTAGCTCAAAAGATATTTCTTGGAAGATGAAGCTTTTGTAAAATCAGAAAAATATCACCTGGGTTTCTCGTCACTGGAACTAGCGGCTAGTTTAAGCTTGTAAGACTTTTAACACGTGTAAGGATTTAGAGTAAGCACGGAATAAGAAGAAAATCTTATACAAAAACGAATATCTAATACTGCTGTGACATAAAATTGTTTACTGGAAAAGGTCACTGTTTGGAAAAAGGATATTTTATTTGAAATAGTCCAGTAGTGTTGAACTGTTGGGATTATATCTTGTGTGATCTTTCCATGTCACCAAGTCGTGGTGGCCCGGAGGTAAAGGAGCCCGCTTCTCATGCATGGGAGTGGGTGCGAAACCTGGCATGTACCAATGTGACTTTTTCCGAGTTATATGTAGTTTCTATGATTATTTAGACACCTCTGACATACGGAGCAAGTAAACATCGTGAGGAAACCTGGACTTATAATTACTAATTATAAGTTTGAAATCGCCAACCCGCATGAAGGGGTGCTTTTTATCATACATTCAGTCAACAAAGTATCGGGAATGAATGTTTTTTTTATGGTTCCAAATCCGAATTTTAATTTTTTTTATTGTTGTTAGATTGGCATAACTGTTTTCCATTTTGGCGCGGAATTTGAGTTGCATCTGTTATTTATATTAAAAACAGTGCTGTTTTTAGTTTTATAATATCTAGTGTGTATTGCGAATTTCATAATGGACAAAAACATCGAACAAAGAGTTTGTCTTAAATGTTGCATCGCCAATGAAATTTCAGAATCGACTTTATCAAAAACACGTGCTTATGAGTGGTACAAAGCGTTCAAAAGCGGTCGAGATGTGATGGAAGATCTGCCTCGTTCTGGTAGGCCATCAACGTCTGCAACTGAAGTTAGCATCGCACAAGTGAAGGAAATAGTGACTGAAAATCCTCATTCAAGTTTGAGAGAGATGGCCGCCGAACTTTCTGTATCTCACGAGTCGATCCGTACCATTTTAACAAATAATTTGGGTATGAAACGTGTTGTCGCTCGGCTAGTCCCAAAAGACCTGAATTTTCTTCAAAAACTAAATCGCATGAAAGTCGCTGAGGACATGCTAGAACGAGTCAATACCGACCCAACATTCATGAAACGCATTGTTACTGGTGACGAGACGTGGGTTTACGAGTTTGACATGCAAACTAGTCAACAAGCTTCGGAATGGCGCCTTCCAATTGAACCAAAACCGAAAAAACCACGTCAAAGTCGATCAAAAGTCAAAGTCATGTTGACTGTTTTCTTTGACTATCGCGGTGTTGTGCACTCAGAATTCTTGCCCGAAGGTCAAACGGTAAATAAAGAATATTATTTGAGCGTTATGCGGCGTTTAAGAGAACAAATTCGACGAAAAAGGCCAGAAATGTGGAACGAAAATTCTTGGATTTTGCATCACGATAATGCGCCTTCGCACAAGGCCATCATTGTAAACGATTTTTTGTCCAAACACTCAACAAACACCATCGAGCAGCCACCATATTCACCAGATATGGCTCCAGCCGACTTCTTTCTTTTTCCCACACTCAAATTACCCCTTCGTAGCACCAGTTTTCAATCGTTAGAAGACATAAAGGAGAATTCGCGGCAAGCACTGAACTCAATTCCGGAAACAGCGTTTAAAAAAAGTTTCGATGATTGGATTATTCGTTGCCGTAAGTGTATCGTTTCTGAAGGAGCATACTTTGAAGGTGGTAAAATAAATTTAGATGAATAACAAACATTTTGTGTATTATTGACTTTTTCCCGGTACTTTCTTGACAGAGTAGTATATCTGTATTTGTATGTATGTATGCAAAGATTGCACATTTATTTAGTCAGCAGGTCACAAATTGATCCTCACGCCCCAACCGCTACAGGCAACCACTCGGGCGTCGGGGCTCGAGCGACGATCTCCTCGCGTCAAAACGCCAACTGGCCACCGCATATGGGGCCCAACAGGGTCGACGTTTATCCAGGTTTGCGGGTTAAGCGCAATAAGATACAGGCTTGGGTGATGTAAGTATATGAAATTGTATTTTTTAAACGAGGGAATAAGTAATAACAAACAATTTAGGCGTTTGGAGATGTTAAGAGAGTATTTGTATCAAGCAGAAGTCGTTTGGATAAGTTTTAGAAAGAGTTGACTCAAAAGATTGTCTACTTTCATAAAATATTTTTACCTGACCAGCCATGATTGACATGGCACGCTCATAAATACTTCTTTTCTATATATCTCAGGTATTTACGAGCGTATAAAGGGAATGGGAGTTTCGCAGAATAGTTAAATGTCACTGTTGTATAGATATTTTCTTGTGATATTCTAGGTAATGTCCGATGATATAGACATGGGTAGACGTTAGGTTCACACGCTTGTCTAGAAAGATGTTCAAGTGTAGTGTGGTTTTCTGTCTATTGCTTCTGCAATCGTCGAACTGTGAAGGTTTCCCGCCGCGTGTCGGTCCAAGCGTGGACATGTGGCAGGCATCCCGTTACTTCATTGAAGTTCGACAAAAACGTATTGTGACAACCAGTTATTAACGGAAATATTACTTGGCAATAGATTGTGGAAAACGTGACAAACAGTTGGGCTCATTTTTATTTTATTTTATTTATTGTCCTAGAACTACATATATGCATTACTGTTGCTTGAAAGAATCGCAGAAAACTTATTTTGATGTGTCTACAGGAACAAAGGATATCATCTTCGCCGTACAAGCCTAATATGTTTAAAAGTTTTTTATAAATTGGTCGTCTTAATCACCTTATAGGTGCCGATGTTGAGAAGTGGCCTCTTCATACACGTAGAAAGAATGAAAATTAATCGCCGCGCCTGCTAAAAGCAGATTGGCTGTCTCAAACTTACAATTTCTAAGTATAAGTTTAGGTTTTCTCGCGGGAACACCTACAAATCTGTTCTGTAGTTGTATCTGCTCTTTGAATTGCCATACCAAACGTAATAGCACAAAAATAACGCAGCCAGGTTTGCGGATGTTAGCGCAATAATTTACCGCGACCTTGACTCGGAGCAAGAGAAGAAAAGACATGGCGTGAACTCAGTAGGAGCCTGACTCGTATTTCACCCCTTTCTTCTACCTTCGTGCATATTATAGGTATAAGTATCCAATAAATATACGAGGTTGTCGTGGTGGCCCGGAGGTTAAGGAGCCCGCTTCTTGTGGATGAGGGTGTGGGTTGGGACTTTTTCCGAGTTATGTGTATGGATGATGATAATGATAAATATAAACACGTGTAAAAATTCAAAATGTTCATGTGAAGAATATGATCCACCATTTTGAACCAATAACGTATCCGTTATCAGCTGACCAAAGAAGCCGCTATCATACGAGATTCCGAGCTACTACTTAACAGGTATGTACCCGAAGCATATGTTTATAAAAACTTAAGAAATGAAATGGTTTATGTCACAAATTATTTTTATGCAAACAGCGCATAGTTGTCGTGCATAGTTGAATATATTAGGTACGTACCCAACGGTCTCTCCAAGGTCTTGCTCGGCGTGCGAACAACTGGAAGGGAAGACCTCTGCTTTCCACCTCTACGGAAACCAGTCGAAGCGGTTTCAACTTCAGACATGATGCCGGGGTCTTCATCGAAGAGCAGATTGTTGGTAGGTGGCGCATAGCGCGCAATCGGTGGCTGCAACAAAAACTATAGTGGAGACACTAAAATACATCATGAATAAGATTTTATCTTTACCCAATCTGACGTTAGTTAAGTCCCTACATATGTCAAAGGTGGATTAGACAGCAAAGCTAACATCTTCAATAATCTGCATCCATCAAGAGGCATCTAAGTCTGAATGTATGTCTCATTAGAAGCTACTTATCGAACTACTGAAATCCTCTTGCGAATATACTAACTTTGGAATAACACAGAGTTGAACTACTGCGTTGAAACATACCTAACTAGAAATTATATAGTAAAGGTGACTTTACATCCTACTACTATTATAAAGGCGAAAGTTTGTAAGTATGGATGTATGGATGTTTGTTACTCTTTCACGTAAAAACTACTGAATGGATTTGAATGAAACTTTACCACAATATAGCTTATACATCAGAACAACACATAGGCTACAATTTTTGAGGTTTCTAATGTGAGGTCTTTTAAAATACACATTTTTTACGCTTACGTTTCCAAAGCGAAGAATCTGCATGTTTATGCTGAATTTAAGATCGTTAAATGCAGTTTATTAGGAGCATACTGCAGTAGCTACCTAATACCCTAACCTGTAGACCTATGATTAGGGCTCTGCAGTGCTTAGTTACCGTATTTCTTACTTATTACTAGACTAGACGGGACGAACCTGAAGTCCACGCGAACGAAGTCGCGGGCAAAAGCTAGTAAACCTATAAAAAATATAAACATCCTATAACATAGAAGTCACTTCGCGAAGTTAAGACACTTTTTTTAATTTATACCGTCAAAAACTTTGAGAGAAATTTTCGCAGAATTCATAAATATTACGAGTGCAAGCTTCACAAGTGTCACTTGTAAGTAAGTATTTGGATAAGGTCGCGAGTGGGTACATATGTAGACATATTGGGATATGTTTTCCTGAGCAGGATATAAACTTGGCTTGACTAAGGCTTGCAAAAGGATTTTCGACGAAGTTATTTGATGCGTGAATTTTAAGGACATAACTACAATGAAAAATGTATTCCTCATAGATATTAATTACAATTGTGGTTAGAAAAAAATATACGAGACTGCACGATGCGAATGGTGCTAGAAAAACTGTAATTAAAAGAAATGTATACAGAAATTCTGGAAGATAATTTGTTACTTTATAATCGATACTGTGTTGAATCAAAAAAATAATTCCAACAAAAACCTTTTTTCATGTCCTAATAAATTACAAAAACAATCCCTTAAATATGCTTCGAACAACAACAGTATAAAACACAGACTAAGTAACACCAACAGAATAAAAGTACCAGAAAAATATAGATAACACTGACACACACAATCAATCATTGAAAACTATTCACGACTTCAAGATCAAATCTTCCCTATGCAAGGCTGATCGATAAGTACCGCGAAGTTGCGATCCACGGAAGTTTGAGAATGCTGCCATTGCAACTTGCAGAGATCTAAGCTACTACACTAAGATTCTTGTCTTGAACTATTCACAGGTTTAACCATGTTATCATAAGGCTATGTGAGCTAGAACTAAACACGATATTAAATTATCTATCTATTGATTGATAGAAACCCCTTCTAACTTACATGAACCTACTAACTTTTCTAAATTAGTTTTAAAAGTTTAATCAAGCTCTTGTGCGACTGTGACTTATACAAGTATTAGTAGAATTAATTATATAAACAATACGTTAATCGAAGAAGCAGAAATTAGTAATGTTAATTATAAAGAGCAAAACTTAATTTAATGTTTAAGATTTAAATGAAACAGGCGATGGAGTGGCAAGCAAAAAAAGATTGAACAGGCAGTAAAGATGGTTAAACCCAAATAAAGAAACAAGCACACCAATTGTCTGCATGTATTATTTTTGTTAGAAACTTTAGTTTGGTTTCAAATGCAGATATTTGTTTGTTGTTATTTATATGAATGTTATTAGTGATAACAACACCGAAATTGTGACAACTCACGAAATAATATCTACCTTCTTATTCATTCTGAGGTCTACGATCCTGCCTGTTTGATCACGAAGCTTGTTGATCGTAGCATATTCTGGCGGATTCATCGGCAGACGTGTTGAACTGGGATGCTAATACAAAAAGATATGTAAAAGAAAAAAAGCAGGAAGTACTTTGTCATCTATTTAGAATTTGAACTCGCAACTGAGATACGAAAGAAATTGAAGCTCTAAACGACTTTCTTAAAAATCTCATTGTGTACAAGATTCTTTTTTTTTTAAAGTATAAATAAATTAAAGATAGATTGAAGAAATAAATGATTGCTGAGTCATTACTGTCCTATACCAGCCATTAAAAGATTGCACCGGTATGAATTTTAATCAAAAGAGTCTTGAATCCCGTTGGCAAAATGTTGCTGCTTATCTTCGGTATCTATTCCTACATAAGTAGCTGATCATCAAACCCCATGGGAAAGCGTGTGTTCCAGTGAACTTACCTGCATTTCGATGGTAACATGATCTTGTGGGTTGTGTGGGTACAAGAGCAGTTGGTTGCCCGCCAAGGTGTGACGACGAGGGTCGTCTCGGCGTGAACTGCGCCCCCGAGGCGGAAACCGACTGGCTTCGCCGTCCGAAAGACCGCCTAGAAGAAAATAATTGTAAGAATGCAAAAAGGCAAGTATAACAAAATACTACTGACAACATTACACAGAATCTACATATAAGGTAAGTGATAAGTGGCTTTGGGATCTCAATAATATTAAAACGTATTACTATATTGATAGGTTGTTGGCTAATCTAGGCTAAATACTTAAAGCACAATAAAGTAGTGGTAAGGAAAATTGTGATTATAAACTCCCTCTCGTCCCACCCTGGGCGGTAGAAGACAACTGATGATATTCCCCATCAAAATGTCTAAATAATTAAAATAGTAATCGATAGATAATGCAAATAGACAGAAATGGTTTGCAAGGGAGAAGTGTAATTAATGAATAGACGAATAAATTCTACACAAAGGAATAGTGTGAAGGGGGGTACAAATATAATAAAAAAAAATAAGTCACAGTTTTAGTATTGTTCGTTGATGTTCCAAAATCTCCGATTATGTTTGAAATGGTTAACTTGAAAACTTTGTAACGCTTTCCCACGTTTCCATGTTAGTCCTTCGTAACTTCACTTAGGTATTCTTATTCTAGCTGAAACATTAATACACAAAACAATATTAAAATAGAATTATATTCTTTGATTAAGCAATGCAATACAAGCAGAACAGTTTAGCTAAAATTATTTTCTAAGCTTTCAAAGCCAAATCTTTTTTATACCATGCATTGGTCGCTTTGCATTTTTACATTATGGAATTTATGGACGAAGAATTTCTTTGTGTGATCCATAAATACTTGTTCCTGGTCTGTCCAGAATGTGTATCTGAAAGTCTTTGTTTTATCTTTGTAGGTACCTATCATAGGAGTAATATCGTCGTGAAAAGTTTTAAAGAAGATTTTCTCAAGGATATTAGTTAAAAATCATGATTTATTATTTCCTCCCTTGATTTAACTTGACTGTCTGTCTTTCTTGCTATCTTCTCTTGTTTATGTTTTTGGACTTTGTGTATTAAATAATAACTCTCATTGTGTAAGGAATAAAACAACATTTTATTGACACGTAGAAAAGAATTTTATTGTCTAATGAGATCTACAGAAGTTTATACATTTATTTACGTAGTTTTTTTTTAATATCTATTTCTAACACTGCTGTCAGCAAAATTGATTTTACATTGTGATAAAATAAAATACAAAAAATAACCTCATTTGGTTGTGTATTTGTTTGCAAAAAATATGGGTTTACAGTAAAACTTAACCCGAGATTTTTCAGTAAATAAATTTCACAGTAAATCCATATAAAACAGAAAATCAAATCAGATATTGCAATTTATCTATAATTATTTAAATAGGCTTAGTTTTATTGATTTTCTGTTAATATTATTTAGCATGAAATTTTATTATTACACAAACAAATTATAACTTTATGCCAAGCATTTTCATCGACATTTATTTTTACTACACGATTACATTTATTTAAATTTTTCGAACAGAATATTATATATGACTAGAGTATTTTAAGTAATTATAAGTTTTAGTAAAGTTCAAAGTTGCTTATCAGGGCCACCACAAGTAAAAGTATTTTGATCTCATTTCAAAATTATTGTGTTTAAACTTTACTTAAACTTATACCTACTTAAGTTTAGGTACATAGACAATTGACTATTTTAATAATCTCTACATGAATTTATAATACCTATTTAAACTAATGCACTACTTAAAACAGTAACACTTTGATTGACAGTAATACATGGTATAAGTAGGTAAAATTTCAAAATTCTACTTTTTGTTCCCGACTGAAAAATATGTAAGTGGTATACGTAGTTGGAAAGGTCCTTATATCGTTTGAGTTAAGGTTCGAAATCAGTTGTTCTGAGCATCGATTTACTTGCTCTAAGTTATATGAAGAGAATTCTCTTCTTCTGTAATAAGTAAGGAGGTTTTATACTTTATGACTGCACAGTTTGACGGGATGGCTGGTCAACTGGCTCCTGAGCCGTGCTAACCGTCCCGAGTTGAATTCTTGCACGGAACAACTCTTTGTATGATCAGGTCTAGGTATAAGTGAAAACTAGAGAAAATCGATGTCCAGCCAACCAATATGCGACCTAACTTACAACAGATTCAATAGAATACTTAATTGAATCTTTGATTAGCAGTTATAGGGAGAAATAAATATGGATTTTATTGTTTAAACTTGATCAAGATACATCATAGGTATAAAGTATTCATGAAGTATATGAATAACATAGGAAGTTTTAGTTCCATGTTCAGTCTCTAGACTCTTTGTTACTGTACTTAAAAAAGGTGTAAATACTTAGCAGAGTTTGTTTATATTATAAGGAAGATAAATTTTTACAAGTGACAGAAAAAAAAGTATTTAAGTGCCTACACTCTCAACCCATTAAATTCTACATATTCCGCTAGGAAATATAATAGGATCTTAATATATATTTTAATTTTTAAATCATTATTTTGAGGTCGCTACCTGTTTTAAAAATTCGATAAAAAATAATATTTTATTCTGATAAGTTTAACAATATCACAAAGGAGTAATTTATCATTACTACTTTGTGATTATTTTGTCCTTTGTATTTGTCCTTTGTAATTATATTATTAGTAAAAATAATGTGATAAATATATTAGGATTAATTTATTCCAACCATTCATTTTTTTTATGTAATAGGTCGGCAAACGAGCAGACGGATTACCTGATAGTAAGCAATCAGCGCCGCCCATGGCCACCCGCAACACCAAAGGAGTTACGAGTTCGTTGCCGACTTTTTGGGGATTAGGGATTTGGAGATTTAGAGATTGAGGAGGGATTGGGGAAGGGGAAGGATTGGGCCTCCGGTAACCTCACTCACACGGCGAAACACAAGCAGTGGTTATTTCACGCCGGTTTTCTGTGAGGCCGTGGTATCACTCCGGTCGAGCCGACCCATTCGTGCCGAAGCACACTATCTTTTAATTCATTATTTTTTAACAAAAATAGAATATTGCTTTTAGTGCAATAAAATTAGAATTATTTTCCATTACTAAGCTTAGGAATTTTCTAGCTTAAACTCTTAATTGAAACCGTAAAGTAAATATTTCTTTTACATAATTTCAAAATGTTGAATATTTGTTGACAATTTCGTCATATTTCGAGGATATGTGATACGTTTTTCACAAATTCCAAGTGTTCTATAGATACACAATACAAATACACAAAAAATGTATAGATGTGACGGGAATTACATACTAGGATATTACAGCCCTCGTTGGTTAACTTAGAATAGGCCAATGAGAACACAAAGCGCCATAAGCATGTATGTCGATCGCTCCAATAAATTAGCAAGGAAACCATAGCCAATATTGACAGACAGTAAAATTATTCTCAAATTTTATACGCCGGTAGCGACCCATAAATATCAATTTAATATTTAAAATTCGAAATTTAAAATACATTATTATTTTTAGGATCACATACAATTATTGTCCACCCATTAGTCGAGAGTTAGAAAATGAATCACTCTGGTGAATATTCACAATAAAGTTTTAGAAGTAGTAAAGTCGGGTTTTTTTATATTATAATTTGGTTATAATACACATACAATTTACCTATACACATACAAGATTTTGACACAACATCTATATTAATGTTATTAATTTTAATAAAATTTTGACATATTAATAATAACTCGATCCTTTCTCATAGGATAGACCAAATAAAGTTTACTCTTTGGAAAAACTTTGTCTATTAAAATCCAATATAATATTTTTCAGTTAATGCATTTAATTAAAAAATAATTTTGAAGATGATTTGATGAAATGTTCACAATAATACAATAATGATTTGATCACACACACTTTTGCTTATACATACAACAAAGTTATATATGTATATATTCATATATAATGTATAAAGTGAAAATTCACTATATACAGGATCTCCGTGAATTCGACGTCTGGATGACACCAAGTAATCGGCAAAATTACACATAATTAGGTCATTATGATACATTTATGGTTATGTGTTATCCACATTGACGAAATAGATTTGTATATAGGGATTAAGCGATCAACTGTCACAAGGTGTACTTTTTTGTGAATAATCTATAATATACTAATACTATAAATGCGAAAGTAACTCTGTCTATATGTCTGTCTATATTTTCTTCACGCCTTAACTACTGAAACGATTTCTGTGAAATTTGGTACAGCCATAGTTTGGAACTCGAGAAAGGACATAGGATAACTTTTATACCAAACATCTGCAGGAAGTTACTATTCCACGCGGAGTCGCGGGCAAAAGCAAGTATTTAATAATTACAACTAGAAAAGAATAAGCCATAAATGTTTTTTACATTCTTCAAAGTCAAAATCTAAAATCTATTTATTTCCAACTAAACCATAAAAAGCCTGTCAGTCAGTTCGTCAGTGAAAAATTACTGTTTTAGTCTGGCCGACCACTTGTTGTCATTAAGACGTCGACTTTTCGGAAACCATTTATATTAATATTATATAATATTATATAAATATTATATAATTTAAAATATTTAATTTAATCATGTTTGTCCCTTAGTATTTATTAATAAAGCTTTCTGAATACCATCTTTGACATCACATGTTAATTAAAAAGGAATTTTAATTTTAAGACAATATGTACTTTGTTTATATTTGTCATACATTTTCAAATAGTTAATTGAAATGATTAGATATTTATTATATAAAATAATTGGTAAAAATTGTATAAAGAACATGATTTGCTTTAATGCTTAAAAATTAAAAACAATACTTAAAACTCAAAGTCACAAAATTAAATATAAATAAAAATCAAAGACTTTGTAAGCAAATCAAAAGTTTGGTCTTGTAAATTTTGAATAAGTACACTAAAATCAAATCGTTGTGATTATATAATTTAACGAAGTTGTGAAATTATTACCAATAATTTTATACATAATATATACACAGGTTTTATGAAAAATATATATTTATATAATATAATGATAAATATTATATTTATTGACCACGCAGTCTTACTCCGTCACTTAGTATTTAAAAAGGTTTTCGAAATACTATTTTCGACATCACATTACAAATAATGTCTATTTGACGACAATTCGAACGTGATTCCTATTTGTCGTGTACTCAAAAATAGACTACAGAACCAACATTCCATATAAAATTTTAAAACAATATACAGGGAATCCAGTAATGAATGGGAATACCTTTTAGAAATACTTTTTTATGGCCATTCAGGAAAAAATATTTTAAATGGTTTATAAGATTTTTTTTTATGTAATAAGTCGGAAAAGGTACAGGCAGATTGCCTGATGGTAAGCAATCACCGCCGCCCATGGACACTCGCAACGGAGGAGTGAGGGAGAGGATTGTGGAGGGATTGGGGGAGGGGAAGGATTGGGCCTCCGGTAACCTAACTCACACGGCGAAACACAACGCTGTGGTTGCTTTACGTCGGTTGTCTGTGAGGCCGTGGTATCACTCCGGTCGAGCCGACCCATTCGATTCCATAAGATATAGTAAAAGTCATTTCATGATTATCCATTCATTACCGGATATCTGTATAAATATATAAAATATAAGACAATATCTTTGTCTGTAATTTCTTTCCAAAATTTGTCTAATATTTTAAACTTCGACGTCGTATATATAATTATTGTATTATTAATGTTTGTTTAAATTAACTGTAGGTAAGTAGTATTCAATACTTTCTTCGTCCAGGCTATATATTCCAATACATTATTAAAATATTGTCATTTATTTTGTAATAAAAGACGTCCCAACAAAATTATAGAAATATATAATAATATATTTATTTAAAAAGAATATTTTTAAACATTTTACAGTATGCATGTTTCTAAGTATTTTTTATATAAATTCTTCCAAATACTGCGTTTAACATTGCACACTGTAGTTTGTTTGAACGTCTGTTTCACGACATCTTGAACTTTGTTCTACTTGTCATGTATTTTAAAAGACTGCACATAAGTGGTTTATCAAAAATATATAATTTTACATGTAATATAATATATCAATCTTTAAATCACTTACCCCTGTCGCTTAGTATTAAAAAACATTTCAGAATACTATTCTCGACATCCTTACAATTACTCAACTCACTTTAAGTTATATATTTGTTTATAAAAATACATATAACATATAGATACATCTGTATATACACTTTTATTCTCATAAAAACCATTATCCGGTAATCACAGTATTAGCATTGTATGCTTTATTCTTACGACTGTCGATACCAATGTTTACAAAATATACATTCAATAATGAACTACAAACACTCTTTTATCAAAAATACTCGAATTTCTGTTAATGGATGACGTGAACAATGGCATCAACTAAAGAAAGTCGGTTCTCAATTAATGGTCTGCGTAACCTTAGCTCATGACATACATGAAACATGAAAAACAAAAATAATGAATAATATACATTATGTACTTAATGGCACACTGCACAGAACATGATTATAGAAAAGGACAACAACAAAAAATCGGACAAAAAAAAATAGTAAAACAAAAAAGGTTCCACGACCAAAAATAAAGAATCGCTGATAGTAGATGTTAATATATATATATACATTTAGAAATATTTACAACTTAATGTTATATATTTTTTTAATTACATATGATGAGTAGCATATGCCGCAGTAGACATTACCCTATAATAATGGTCGCGTTCTGATGATGTGGCAAATCGGTTAGGCTTCGGATTTAGCGCCCTAGAGCTAAATTCGAAGCCTCTGATTTGTCTGTGGTTATTCATCGTCAGGAAAGCTAAAACATAAAAGAGATGTTTAGAAAAAAATAAAATAATGAATATATGAATGAAATGTATACTTTACATAACCATAAAATTATTACAAAACATATTTTGTTTAGCCTATTTCGAATCAACAGTCGGATTTTGCTGTGTCATGATTACACTACATTTTATTGTAAATTTTCTAAATCTAATATTATTACATAATACCAACTAAAAAACAGTGCATTACATATAAATATAAAAATTAAGAGATAAAATTAAGAATAATTAAGAAAATATAATATAAAGGTCACCCCCGATAACACTGACACATAACATTTGGTGAAAAGTGGATATTGTAACATTATCACATCATAAACACCAGCCTATAAGTGCCCACTGCTAAGCTGAGACCTCATCTCACACGAAGAAGTTTAAAGAATTGATCATCGCGATTGCTAAAAGTGGATTGACGATTTCCAACTAACTTATAATAATTTGGAATTACTAGTACATATTTCCTCGCGATCTTTTCTTTTATCGTTTGTCAAAGGTGTTTAAAACTAAGAAATTAACTCGTGAATGCATTCAGCGATACAAGTTTCCTAGTTTTCAAAAAGTGTATGTAACTAGCACATGGCATTTTAAGTTTTATCAGAGAGTGCTATTGATCAATATTAAATGTGTGTTATAGTCGAATTCTGCCCTGGCCTCCAGGGCTCCTATAAGTGTCAATTTACAATAAAATCATTCCGTTATCATTACTCACTGATGCATGCTAAAATCTGACACCTCTTAAGCTCTGAACGCTCAGCTCGTTGTTGAAAATGTAAAACAAAAATAACTTCACAATGTTTTCGCTTAATCTGCTTCAAAATATTTCACACGAATTGCATCTTTAATGTCTCATGGCCAATGGCGAAATAATATTTTTTATAACAAACAATTTTATACCTTCTTTTACGATGAATACAATTTATTTCAGAATACAAATTATGATTAAATTATATTTCCGATGTTTAATAGGATTATAGTGATTGCTTTAGGCTTTGCTTACACCGTACCTACATTAATGGAACGTATTTACCCATTATGCGTAGAAATTACAAGTACACCGTCCGTTGCCGGATTAATTGAATATCGCATTACCGGATATTTGGATATTAAATTAAATATGATTTGTGTAAATTAATTATTCGTATTTGGGAATAAAAATTAATAAATAAGCACTTAGATTCGATATCGCATCTCTGTAGCATGTGTAGGAAACGAACTACGAAATTATTATGAATGAAGAGCGACCAATTTTACATGGGTCTTTTTTTGTGGAATAGCAGGATCACCTAATGGTAATCGATCGACATGGACACCTGCAGCACCAGAGGGTCACAGGTGCGTTGCCGGTTTGTTAAGAAGGATTACTCTCGATACTTGAATGTTTGAAGGTCGTAACGATTCGGAAATACCGCCGCCGGAAGATCATTCCAAAGATTTTTCGCGTGAATCGCACATTTATTGACTGGCAACCATCTGTCCTTCGTCAATGATACCGCATACCATAAGCTACACTACTGCTTTCATTGAGAAGCGAACGGAGTAAGCCAAACTCTTAGTAATTTTTTAAAAACCCAGTAAAGTTAATTTCGCTGAAGGCAGATTTTCTGCACAATAAAATAGGACCTACCAAACAAAGGCTTTTGTTGTTTTCTTAGCTTTCTAAAACTTCTATGATTAAATTAAGTGAAAATCCTTCTAGTTTATGCTCTGTTTTACTAAAGAAGGTACCAGAAAATTTATAAAGAAATGAAGATAAAGTATTATCTATATAATAATTTGTCCGAATAACTAGAAAAGTGCGACCTAAATCCAGTCTTACATATCAGAATGTCTATTGAAAAACTATAATGTTTAGTTACAAAATTCAAAAAGTTAACACAGCATAATCTAGCTTTCACCACGAGGCAGGCATTAGTTTGTGATCCCTGCACTTAGTAATACGAAGTTTGAAACTTTATGTATATATCTCTGAAATCAAAACCGACGATGTATCGAAGTTTTCCTTTAGTTCCATTCCGGTTTGAATTTGGAAACAAGTTATTTTCCTTGGTATTCAAGATTTTCTGTTACTGTGATAACGATTTTCAATTTATATTTTGTTAAACAAAATATAAATTGAAATGTGTACTTATGATGATACGTTTTGAAAAAGAAGGCAGAATGAGAATTTTAGGTGTAAGGATAACCCAAGGAAGGAAGGTCAAGCGCAATAAGGCACCGCCGCCTCGACCCACAGCAGGAGAAATAAGAGACAGAAGAAGATACTCTGAGGGTAACTAACGACAGTCTTTCTGTAGTAACAAAACAATATTATACCTATTGAGTAACATAAGGTTGAACAATATTTAGTAATTGGTGGCCAAAATGCGGTGTGAGGTGAAACAATTTTCTTCAAAAGATCTTGTTTCGGGACCGAAGCAACGGCTTCAACGTGAAAGAGAAACAATAATCCATCCATCCTACACCTAACAAAAGCTGCCTTTTTTTTCTGGTGGTTGTTCGAACGTAGTTTAGACCAAGCTATTTTTCATGTCAGTAAATTTGGCTACAAGAAATTAAAACCCTATACAAAACGTATTAAAGTTATATATTCTTTGTAGGGCAATCTAGCAATAGCAAACTCAATGTAATTAGCCATGAAAGGAAGATAACAAATTATTTTCTATACACAAAGTTAAAAACCTTGAATAAAACCTTAGACGTCCTTTACTAATGAATGAAATTACATCGATATGAAAGGTACACGGGGCTTCTTGCTTTTCAATCTCCGATGGTAATTTAACTACACTTAGTTTATCAATTGACTATTTTCTAAGTAATAAGAAGACGCAATCAGTGTCTCAAGCCATAGATATTTTATTAAAAGATCTAAGTCAACTGCAATACTGCTGGATTACATTTCTTTATGGTTGGTCGGCAAACGAGCAGACCCTGGTGATAAGCAATCCATGTCGCGCACCAAAAGAGTAACGAGTGCGTAGCCGCTGTTTTAGGGATAAGGGTACCTATAGGAAATTTAAGGGGAGGGGATGAGAGGAGTGGGAGGGATTGGGCCTCCGGTAATCTCACTCACACAGCGAAACACAACGCTATGGTTGTTACACGCCGGTTTTCTGTGAGGCCATGGTATCACTCCGGTCGTGTCAAAGCTTGGATTTCAAACACTTAAAAGGCGTTTCCTAACTGAGCTGATTGGAAATCATAGTTTAAAAGGTTCAGCTTGATGAGAGACCGCTCCTAGTTCCTCGGTTTCTTAAAACAAGTCTGACATCATCTGGGGGAAGAGGACACGACCTCGATACACAGAAATGGCAGAGCAAACGTGTTTATTAGAATCCTGGTTTCTGTTCAAAGGATAAGACGCCATGTTATAATATCACGGCACGTAATTCCGCCTAAGATTTAATATTACATTGAAAATCAAGATTGCATTGCATTCCTTGAATTCCTTTACATGTCATAGAGCTTGGAGGGTAATAAAATCAGTGCATCAAGAGGACTAATTATTAAGATGTAAAACAAGGTCTCAGCTTCAGTGAGGTTAGTTATCCGTCATAATTATTATGTACGGATATATATATAGCTTATTTTATTATTTTTATGAAATATTTTAAACAACTCCAAAAATACATTTTTAAATTTATATATGCAAAGAATACTACGATTATATATAAAAAAAAATTGA